AAAGAAAGAAAAGAAAGAAAGAAAGAAAGAAAGGAAGGAAGGAAGGAAGGAAGGAAGGAAGGAAGGAAGGAAGGAAGGAAGGAAGGAAGGAAGGAAGGAAGGAGAAAAGAAAGTCCGGGGGGGGGGTGGCCCAGGGGCCACAGAGTGCTACTTGGCCACTACTCCCATTGTATTGATGGAAAAACTGAAGAAAGACAAAGCTCTAAAGCAAGACCAAGGAAGGATGGGGACTGTCCTGGGGCAACAGAGGCCCAGTGACCCATGAGGGAGTCATCTGAAGCCTGTCTGCTGGGGCTACACTGACCTGCCTCTACCTCTGCCAGCCAGCATCCTGCTCCTGGAAACTCAGTGACTTAGAAAGGATCAGCCAGCTCAGTCTTGCTACGATTAGGGCAAAGTGTCACAAGTTTCAGTGAGCAGCAAGAAAGGACCAGCCCTCTCATTACTTCTGGCTGGAGCCAATGACAGCCACAGGCTGAGCTAGACCAGTACATTCTGGGGCTAGGAAAGGCAAGGCTAGTGTGGGGGCCAGTGCCCACACCCGCCAAGGCAGACTCAAAGCTGGTTCAGCTTCTGGACAGAACCCCACACCTCAGGCCAGCCTACAGAAGACATGGAGAGGCCATTAGGACACAGGTGACAGTACCAATGGCAGTGTCCTACGAAAGAAACCTGCTATCCAGGGGTGCAAGCCCCCTTCTCACTCCACAGCAATGCAGTGAGAAGGAATTGTAGGGTTTTGGGGTGTGGACCCTCCCCACTCCCACCCTTGGAACACTCTGGGTTCATTAAGTACTGACTTTGGTCTTGCCTCCCCACATGCTCCTTGGGGACTGTTGGGTCCCCACCCCCAACCCCAGGAGTCCCTCTCTCCTGGGCCTCAGCCCATGCAATACCCTTTGCCCTGGAGACTTCTTGAGGCCCCCACCTGGGACCCAGCCAGTAGACAAGAGGCCACCTGGGACCCTTGGGAGTCTCTGTGGGAGGGGTGGGGGCTCCATGGAGCCCACAGAGAACTCTTAGGGGTGTGGGAGTGACCTTTCTCCTGCCAGTAGGGGTGGAGAGCCCAGGATACCCTCCCTCAAGGGAGGCTGCTCCTCCATTCAAAACAGTTGCCAAAATGTAGGTGCCTCCTTCCCTAACCCATACTGAGGCAACCAGCCTCTCAGACAGGGCAAGTGCCCAGGGAGCAGGCTCAGGCCATCCTGGAGAAGCAGCTCTGTTGATCCTCCCTGCCATGCTCCAACTTCACTCAGTACCCAGGCCAGGGTCTCGGAGAAGAGCCCACCACCGCAGCACCACCCCTGCCTCAGGCAGTGGGAAAGGAACAGCTCTGTGTCTCCGTTCCTGCTTTCACCTTCCAGGGACCTCGGGATGCCGTTGGGAAACACCAGGAAGAGCTGGATTCTGCCCAATTGAGGCCGGCATCTGGATGCTCCGGGAGGGCGGGATCAGGCCTCTGCGAGTGTTCTTCCACCTCCCACCTTCCCTACCTGAGGCTCAGGGCTCTCCAGATGCTACAGCCCAACCTTGGGCAGCCCCAAGTCTCCAGTGGAGGGGAAGGTGAACGGATCGGTCTCTATCCCCTTTCCCCTACCCGCCCTGAGCATGACTCTGGTGCCTGGGCCCACAGCCGACTTGGCTTTGAGGCTGCAGCGGCGGCACCCGACCTGGCGGCTTCCGGGTGTCCCCAAGCCCCTCCCGGGGCGCTGAGAAGCACGTGCATCCAGCAGGCTGACACACAGGCCGCCGCCACGCATGCAAACCCGTGCCTGCACGTCCGTGAATAGCCAACATCTGCACACCCGCCATCCCAGGGCCGCGCTCTCCCTTCGCTCGGGGCCCCGCACACGTGTGCACGCAGGAAAGCCCGCGCACCCCGCCGGCCCCACACTGACGCCCGCAGACCGGCGAGAGGTCCCGGAGCAGGGGAGGCCTGGCCGCGGGGTCCGGGCAGCCTCTGCCTCAGGGCGGTCCCGTCAGCCTGGGCTGAGGCCAGAGGGTGAGTCGAGACCTCAGCCTTTCCAAGTGCTGGGCTACAGCCCTGAGCCGTTGTGCCCCGCCATCTCTTTTTTTTGAATTTGCTCCGTTACCCAGGCTGGAGTGCAATGTCATGGTCACGCCTGGCTGCAGCCTGAAACTCCCGGGCACGAGCGAGCCTCCCACCTTGGCCTGTAAGCCTGAGCCATTGTGCCCATCCCTTTTTTCTTCCTTTCCTTTTGAGGTAAGGTCTTGTTCTGTTACCCAGGCTGGAGTGCAGCCGCTTGACCACAGCTCGCTGCAGCCTAACCTTCCTGGGCAGAAATGATCCTCCTACCTCAGCCTCTTGAATACCTTAGACCACAGGTGCACATCACCACGCCTGGCTAAATTTTTATATTTTTCATAGAGATGTGGTTTTGCCATATTCCTGTCTGGTCTCGAACTCCTTTACTCAAGTGATCTGCCCACTTCGGCCTCCCAAACTGCTGGGTTACAGGTGTGAGCCACTGTGCCCAGCCTTTTATTATTTCCTTCCTTCCTTCCTTCTTTCTTTTACATTAGCACTCACTCTGGTACCCAGGCTGGTATGCAGTGGTGTGGGAACGGCTGGAAGCAACCTTCCCAACTCAGCCTCTTGTGCAGCTAGTCTCTCCTTTCCTGGGGTAAGTGAAGTGAGGGGCTTAGCTCTGATGCGTGTTATGGAGGCCTGGTAGTATTTGATTTGTGAGAGTAGGTGACAGACAGTTAATTTACTGGAGATAGGTCAGTTGACTCAAATGTTAGTGTCAAAAGAGTCCCGAGAAGTCTTCTAGTCCAACTCTAGAGGTGAGAAGATAGTGAGGGCAGTAAGTATTTATTGACTAATGTCCAAGACTGGTGGCCCCCTGATCTTCTGACCAGTGCTGGATGTTTATTGAGACACATCTCTCCCAGAGTTCTGGAGTCTTTTTTTTTTTTAAGATGGACAGTCACTCTTGTTGCCGGGGCTAGAGTGCAATGGTGCGATCTCGGTTCACTGCCACCTCCACCTCCTGGGTTCAAGCGATTCTCCTGCCTCGGCCTGTTGAGTAGCTGGGATTACAGGCATGCACCACCCTGCCCAGCTAATTTTCTATTTTTAGTAGAGGCAGGGTTTCTCCAAGTTGGTTAGTCTGGTCTCAAACTTGTGACCTCAGGTGCTCCGCCTGCCTCGGCCTCCCAAGGTGCTGGGATTACAAGCCTGAGCCACCACGCTCAGCCTTTTCTCTCCCAGAGTTCTGGAATCTTTTCTGTATTTGACAACCTAAGAATTATGTGAACATTAAAGCAATATTTTTGATTGAAAGAATGGCTTGTTATTTTGCCTCGTTTCAGTACAACTCTTTCATCACCACTTTAACTGATCCGAGCGTATTTTATTAGAAAAAGGGGAAACCAGATGTTCAGAAGCAGTGCTTCTTAGGCAGGAAAGAATTTGTCCCTGGTAGTAGGTTTCTGATCTGAAACCCCATGCCTCTGATTGCTTGTAGCTTTTTGGTTTGATTCTTTAGGAAATTCCCTGAGTTGTTTAATTGGTTTAAAAACTTTCTGGGCTATAAGGAGTCTGTACATCCGGAAACTTTTACAAAGGAGCGAGCCACAGAGGGCATTGCCATGGAGATAGATTACGCCTCTTGTAAACGATTGGGCTCCAGCTATCGAACCCTACCAAAGAGTTACCAGCAGCCCAAGTGTACCAGATGGACTCCTCTCTGTAAAGAGGTAAGGTATTCCCTAGCAGGGATCACTGGGTCCTCAGCTTACTCCAGAAGGGAGTGGTAGTACCAAGGATTAGAAATTATGTGAATGACAAAATTAAGAACCCTTTTAATCCTTTTTAAAAATAAAATGTTTTTTATTTTTATTATTTGTTTTTGAGACAGGGTTTCGTTTTGTCACCCAGGCTGGAGTGCAGTGATGTGATCATGGCTTATAGCAGCCTCAACCTCCTGGGCTCAAGTGATCCTCCCAAGTAGCTGGGACTTAGACACATGCCTCCACACCCAGCTAAAAATATAAAAATAAAAGTTTTTACTGGGCCTGACACAGTGGATCATGCCTGTTGTCCTGATACTTTGGGAGGCCAAGCTGGGCGGATCACCTGAGTTTGGGAGTTTGAGAACAGCATGAGCAACATGGAGAAACCCC